ATGTCAATAGAATATTTTCTCCAGTATGATACTGGTTCCCAACATCTGACACATCTGAATTCTATAAATAATTTTCCATTGCTATTTGTTCTCTTAGTCTCATGTGGGCTTTCTTAACATTCCAGCGACCCCAGTTTTATAATCTGACTTTTGCAGCTCAAAGTCTTAGCTCACTGCTTCTGAACCCTTAGTGATAATGTTTACACTTACATAGCCCAATAATGACAGAGCCCTTTCTCCAAAGGCAATAATGGCATAGTCAAACCCATCCGAGAGAAGGATAATGTGTTGCCAAAATTGGCAAACTCCTTTCCCTTGGGCTGGAAAAATGAGAATTGTAGCTTGAATTCTCTTCTTTCTCTCTTACCGTATCTAGTTTTTGTAAATTGGTTAGTTCCAGGGCTTATATTCCAGCACAACCCACCTTGATCAGGGCACTAACTCTCTTAAAATATTTTTAAAACAGAACTATTATAGTGCAGTAGTACTGAATATCTTTAGTTGGTTAACATCTTTTTTTTTTTTTAGGATGATCCATTTTCAGCATTAGATATCCACTTGAGTGATCATCTCATGCAAGAAGGAATTCTGAATTTGCTAAGAGCAGACAAAAGAACAATTGTTTTGGTTACCCACAAACTACAGTATTTGCCCCATGCTGACTGGGTAATGAAGCTTCTTTATACTGATTTGTTAATCTTAATATTATGTTCATAAATATTCAAAATGGTGTGTAGGTGCGATTCAGCAAGTACTTTTAAATTGTAAAAGTACTATTAAGTACTTTTAAACTGTTCTGGTTTGGGGGAGGTGGTGAAGGCAATGAACTCAGGTAAATTGTGTCCCTGCTACGTAAGTGTGTTTAAGCTTGGTTTTTATGCCTCCACCTGCCCATAGTGATGATTGTCATATCATTGCAGCCCTGGTAGATATTTGCTTCGTAACTTGGAATTGTTACAGTAACCCTACCCAAGATAACATTGTAAGACTCTCAGGGCAATTCATGCTTTATTTATTAATCTCTGTTAAATAATGCAACCAATTAGAAACAGCAAAATGCACGTCTTATTTGCATATTTGCATGTTTAGGACCATATTTATTTGCATTAAACAGTGATGTATGATTTGGAAAGGACTAGGTTTTCATTTCCCTATCTCTTCCACTACATTTAAATTAGTTTTGGAAATTTATATCTATTTCTAGTCTAACTTTTAGGATACTACTTTTTGTTATGGTGATAATAAGAGATAAAATGTATAATAAAAAATTAAACTAAGTTCATAATTATTTATAAAGAGCCCTGGTGGCACAGTGGTTAAAGCATTGCAGGCAAACTCTGCCCACAGCCTAGAGTACTGTCTTAACAGACTCAAGATTGATTCAGCTTTCCATCCTTCCAAAGTCAATAAACCGAGGACCCAGATTGTTGGGGGCAATATATTGACATTGTAAACCGCCCAGAGAGTGCTG